TTGATAATTATTTCCAGGGTTAGAACTTATTTCTTCTTGTTCACTAGAATTACCGGGTCTACCATTTTGTTCTTCATTAATTTGTCTTCTTGTCGTAAAGGGGTTGTCGGAATTTCCTTCTTGAGCAGCGGAGGGATAAAGCGGTGGTTGAGGGAGGGAATGATCAGTGACAGACATGCTTTCACAAAAAAAAAAAAGAAAATGTTAAAGGCAAAAAAAAACAAAAATTCAAAAAAAAAAAATCAGAATAATTTTCACTGTAGGAACAGGAAAATATGAGAAAAGGAGGAAAAAAAAAAAAAATAAACTATATATTTCTATAAGTCGGGTTATCCTGCAGTGTAATTTCTCGCATGCCAATTGCTATTGGTTATCAATTTTTCTTTAACATACTGCGTAATATCCTTATATGTAATAATATGAGGTGGGCAAGCTGATAACAAGTATTTCCAACCCTTTATTAAATCAAGCTTGTATCAAATTAATCTTCACTTTTTTTTTTTTCTCTATGAAGATAAACATATTTGGAGGAGGGAACATGATACGTGGATAGGTTTATTGAAAAGGTAGGTGCCTCTTTGGCAAGATGAAGACGAATGAATTATACTGTATACCATATCAGATGATTTAATTTTAAAAAACAGGTGTGTAAATAGAGAATGATTTTCATATAACGCATATTTGTATAATTTGGGTAGATTAATTAAAAAAGACAAATAATTTTTGTTTCAATTAAACAATCCGACGATCTGCCTTCAGCGAAGCACCCCCAAATGATCCAAGGAGCACATAGATTATTCCGATCACGAATACAAACCAACCAGGTATTATGATGAACTCGTGTAGGCTAGAAGGAATATGATCTTTCGTAAGAACAAATATATATATAACGGGCAAAAATACGGACACACTTGAAACACCCACCTGTAGCCCAAGAAATCGACGCTGTTGATTCCACTGTCATGCCCAAGAATCAATGATCCCATTCTGTAGGTTGTGAGAAGGAAAAATGAGAAGAAAGAAAGAAAGTTATAAGTGTGAAATATTTACACCCTTCTTGAAAAATATTCGTTATAGTGTAATAAGTACATAATTTGTAATAGGCCAAAGCAAACCCAGCTATGAGAATCATCTAGTATCGGAAACCACTTGTGAATCCTCTTTGGCCATCCGATCTCAGAAAGTATTAGAACAAATGCCCATACGACGATTACAATACGATTCACGAATTGAAAGAAAATGTTGCTCTGTCCGAGTCCAGAGAATCCTTTTACGTTTACTATCACGCAAGTTGCGATAACCATCATCAATGAGATTATGGAAAGTAAACGCAATATATTTAGAAGGATGCAGCGTAAGTCGAGAACCATTTCGAAATGCCGTGTGTGTTGGTATTAAAGAAATAAATCTCCAAGGAATAGTTTCCAGAGATATCACTGTTAAAATTCGCATCACGCAAATTATATGCTGCGTAATATCCTTATACGTGATAAGTGACCAGTAAAAAAAAAATTATAACCACCTTGATTAATGAACCACCCTTTTTTTTATTAATCAAAATTAATTTGTCTAGAATATTCAAACTTTTTTTTCTATAGATAAAGCCTGGGGGGGGGGGGAGTAGGGAATATAATACATTGAAGAAGGGTTTTGTAGGTTTATCAAAATGAGTTAAACTCTATTCTTTTTTTTTTTACTTTTTTAAAATCACAACTTGTTTTAAAATTGGTGTTCCTTAAAATCTTCTCGTAATTAAAAAACAGATGTAAAACGGAAACGGAAAATGATTTTCACACAGTGTAAGACGGGGGAGGTGTTTTTTCCGAGCTCATGGTAATCCGTCGATCCGCCTTTAAGGAAGTACCTCCGAATGCTCCAAGGAACACATAGATTATTCCAATTACGAACACGAACCAGCCTGGTACTATGATGAACTCGAATAGGCTAAAAACAATTATATATAATATTTTCGTAAGAACAAATGTATAGAATAGGCGGAAATATGAAAGCATTCTCGAAATACTCACCTGTAGCCCAAGAAGTCAATACTGTTAATTCCGCTATCATAGCCAAGAATTAATGATCCTATTCTGTGAGTTATGAAAAGTAGAGAATAAAGTTATAAGCGTGAAATATTTATTTATGCCTTCCTCAAAGAAGATTCTTTACAATAATACGTACATCATTTGTAATAGGCCGAAGCAAGTCCAACTATGAGTTTCATCTAACATTGGGAACCACGTGTAAATTCTCCTCGGCCATCCAATCTCAGAAAGTATAAGGACCAATGCCCATATGGCGATTACAATACGATTCATGAACTGAAAGAGAGTGTTGCTTTGTCCGAGCCCGGGGAACCCTTTTACATTTACTATCATGCAAGTTGCGATGACCAGCATCAGTGAAATTATGGACAGTACACGCAAGATATTTAGAGAAATACAGCGTAAATCGAAGGCCATTTTGAATTATCTTGTGCTGAAAGGAAAAAAATAAGAAAAAAAAGAATGTAATAAAAAAAGTTTGAATTATTCTAGTATTAGGGTGAATTGGTGACTTTTCAAAAGTGAGGAATCTCCTTTCGGAATTCAAAGGTTATTTATACAGATTCATTAACAAAGGAAATAGATGTTGAACCTATTGTCAATCTCTTGAACAATGATTAAGCGAAAGCACATCTGCGACAAATTAACGTTCTTTTGCATTTTCGTTGAAGGATAACAAGGCTCCCATCCTCATGAAATGTATCAGTTATGTATAGAAGATACAGGTGCGGTAACACAACCGTTGCTCAATTTCTATTAATTACATGACAGACAACGTCTACATTGTTAATATTAATGTTTTAACCTCAAATGCTCGAATTTCGGATCAATAACGAAATTTACATATGTACAAAAAAATGTTCTCACAACGACACTTTGAAACTGTGCACAATACGATCAATATTGCATGCATGCGTATCATCATCATATAAGTTTTGAATGTTATAATGAATAAAATAGG